AATAGCAGCAAAATGTATTTAAATAAAAAAATTGATAACGCAAATCGTTTATTATATATTGAAGAACTGAATTATAAATTTATTTCACGAAATTAATTACAAATTCGTTTTGTTTATTAGTTTTAAATTAAAATTAACACGGCATTGTGGAAAAATGCAGCGACTACCAGTAATTTTTCAAAAAACTTGCCATATCTCTGTAAAAAATACATATATTTTAAAGGAAAGATGTAATAATGAGAACCCGATAATGTGAACTTTATACTTCACTTTTCCTAAAGTCAGGGATAACAAAAATAGGCTATAAAGGAAAGATATAAGAACGGACCATAGATTAAAAAGTATGCGTGGTCAGTTCCTCATCTCGTGTAATAATTTTCAAACCCATATCTCCATTATTTGGATTTTATAAGGATTTTATATATATCGAAATAGTGGGCGTGGTCAATATTTTTTCTTTAAAAACCTAGCTCGGGGTAAATCAGTCCAGCCGTTCTAAACTGATTCCATTACCAAAGAACAACAATTGATTTTTATATATATACTAGCTGGCCCGGTCCGCGTTGCCGTCCCGTAATTTTAGTCTTTAATGCTTATTATATCCTCCACCTTCCCTCCCTCCCTCATTTAATTCAGTTTATTTCATCATGAAAGATTGTGATGTACAAGTTACAAGAGTAAACTATGAACTAATAACTAAAGAATAAAGAATTGAGAATGTTAGTGAAAATAACAGATAAAATAAAAGTGATGTCAATATCGAGTTGACATATACAACACCTTTCCCCTCTAAGGAGAGAATAGGGGCCTTGTCTTCGAACCCTTGTTGATCGCCGCAATCTTTATCTCCGTTCGTCGACATTTGTAGCAGATGACGATGCGGATGATTCCGGGAATCCTAACAAAGGAGTAGATGTCGAAGAAGCTTGGATGTCCTCATACCCATGTGTTGAGACGGGTGGAGTTGAAAATTGTTCGGTCTGTTCTAGCTCAATCTCTGAGTTAGCTGTCTCCACGCCCTCTTCATCTAGTTCAATTACCGATTCTCGTTTTTCATCGGTGACGATGCTCGAACCCGCTCCGTAGCTATTCGCACGATTCACAGAGTTTTCCTTACTGTTGACTATTAATGGTACTCTGTATGTAGCAAACACTTCATCCAGCAATGTAATCGTCGCAGCTGCGGTCATTGACTTGGTAACCTTTACCTCCAACCATTTAGAGAAGGCATCGCTAATAATGAGTAACATCTTTCCCTCGAAGGGACCCGCATAATCTATGTGCACTCGTTCCCACGGAGCCTCGGGGTACTCCCAATTATGATCTGTGTACTTCTTCGGGACATTTGCATACTTTGCACATTTCTCGCAGTGCTCTCAATGGCCAGCCAGTAAACGAAGGACCGGGCTATGCCTTTCATCTTAACCATCCCTAGATGGGCGCCATGCAAATCGTTCATTTAATCGCCCCGAAATCTAGGAGGGATCACAATTCGGTGTTAAAACATTAAACATCCTGACGACACTTTGTACTTTATTTCAGGTGATTTGTAACCAGCTTTTGACAAACACTGTTCACATTCCAATAACTTTGTAATCTTACCAAGATGTGGATCCTTTATCGTTTCCAGCGCAATTCGTTCAGCAGTTACCGGTAATTGATTAATTTGGCGAATCACGAAACTGTCGAATTCATCAAGTTCATTACGTATGGGTTTATCAAATTGAGCTTTTTCACTCTGTTGGCTGGAGTTATTCGAGACAAAAAATCGACATTACTGTTTTCCTTCGAGGTTTTGTGGACCACTTCAAAATCGAAATTAGAAAGGAAATCAGCGTAGTTTGACATACGGGATATACATAAAACAGGCAGCGTCTTATTCGGATGTAGGATTTGTACTAGCGGTTTGTCGTCAGTAATGACGGGCATACAGGTACTTGAAAAACTTTTGGACTTTTAGACGATTTGTGAGTATCGTTGCTCCGTCGCGTTCATGGTGCGGCTCGCATAAACAATTGGACGTTCCTGTCCATTAGAAAGACGATGCGACAGGACAGCTCCCAGTCCCGTTTTACTGCCGTCCTTTGAAAGTAGAATAGGCAATGCTTGATCGTACGGGATCAGCACTTGCGGAGATATCAACAGTTGCTTAATTTTGGTGTATGCCTCACCTGTATTTTTATGCCAAAAGAAAGTTATTTTTTTTCAAAACGTCCCGGAGTGGCATCTCAAGTGTAGACAGGTTTGGTATGAAATTCGAATAATACGACGCCTTTCCCAAAAATAATTGTAACTCCTCCAACGTTCTTGGTTTTGTCGCATGCATAATCGCTTCAATGTGTTTGTTGGATTTATGAATTCCTTTAGCGTCGATTTTGTGACCTGGAAATTCAATCGATGACGTCACAAATACGTATTTCTTTTTGTTTAACTTAAATCCAAATTTCTTGCACTTGCATAATGCAGTCTCAAGAACTTTCAACAGTTCATCAACATCTGTTGCAAACACTAGATTATCGTCGAAATGTTGGCGGCTCCATAAACTGCTAGAGTTGGGCGTATCAGTCCATGTGTTGGAGTATTCTGCGTCAGGACATGGGCAAATTCCACGTCAAGGATCAAGTGTAAATACACGTCAGTAATACCCAAATCCCGTAATACGTATACCTCCATTCTTCTTCGGCACTACATGTGTAGTAGATGCCCATTCCGAATACTCTACTTTTTCGTAAAATCCCGCCGCAATCTTAGCATCTATTTCTTTGGAATACACATCCTGTAATGCGAATGGGATTTCTCGGGGACTTGCAAATTTTGGCGTAGCATCTTGCTTTAATTGCACTTTAATAGGAGGACCTTTGAACTTACCCGTTATATCACTGAATATATCTTTTTGTTTGGCTAATAGCAGCTGTAGCCGTTGCCGTTGATGTTCAGACAGTATGGATTGTTTTTACTGCTTTAGATGCTATCTTCTCTCCTGCCGCTGCTGGCAACTTCGTCCGCGTTGATGCTTCTATTGGGTCTTGGAACAATTCGGCAAAATTTATCGCCATCAACTACGTATAAGATCCGCCTACGACGGGTTCTGCCCAAAGACACATTCACCACGGTACATCCTATGCACGTAATCTTGTGCCCCGTATAACTTGAAAATCGCCGGTCCGCTTTCTTTAACACTGATGACTGCTTTATGTTGTTTAAATTCTCAAAGCTGATAATACTGCAAGGAACACCCATATCCAGTTCCATATCCACTTTCTGGCCGTCTATCTTCATTGTGACCATTTCCGGCCCTGGCCCTTTTGTTCTGACTGTTGCAATCTGAGACGTATGTGCCTCCTCAACCTCATCTGTCAACAACGACTCCTCTATCTGCTTTGTATTTGACTTGCACATTTTACTTGTGTGGCCTAACTTGCCGCATGAATAACACTTTGCGTTCTTGAATTTACAATCCTTCCACCGCAACCTTAATATCTCACCTCTGTAGTTTTATTCGACTTCTGCTTCACACCATTTTTCGTCTTGACAGGTATAAATCCCATTTTGCATGTCGTTTCTGTAGTAATATTCGCACCTGTATTTACTACACCCGTTGATACTTGAGTTAACTCCTTTGCCGTGACACACTCATATTCCTCTGCGAAACTTTTTGGTTGCTTAGCAATAATCTCGTAACAAATATTGCGGGACTCCACTCCAAATATCATCTGCTCAATCAGCATCCTATCCAGAAATGCCCCATTGTCACACGAAGCCGCAGCTTGCTTCAGGTGCAGTGAAAAATTTGCCAACGATTCCCCTACATCTTGGCGTATCTGTCGAAATCTGAAAATTCATTTCTTCTGGCTTGTTAGGACTAATTAAAATTTTGAGAGCCGTATTTAGCTCAGCACCCATATGTACGCGTGCATAATTATGATAATCCTCTCGAGCAATCTTGCTCAATTTCCCAACCGAATAGTATTTAACCGTTGAGCCATCTGTGCTTTTGTATTCGCTTATTGCAAACCGTGGCTGTCTTGTTGTATTTATGTCTTCTGACGTCACATACTGCGGCCGCGATGTTTGAACAGCCTCCGTCACAGCCGTAAGAACTGCAACCGCCAAGGAAACAAAAACTGCATTCAACTGTTCCTGGTTCATCGTGCCCTCCCACTTCTGACACCAATATTGTTTACTCAAAGTCTGGAGTTTTAATTTAATTCAGTTTATTTCATTATGAAAGATTGTGATGTACAAGTTACAAGAGTAAACTATGAACTAATAACTAAAGAATAAAGAATTGAGAATGTTAGTGAAAATAGGGTTGCCGTCTGGCAGATAAAAGAAAAATTATGCCAATATGGAGTTTACATATACAACAAGGTTATATTAACTTTTTTATTCCGTTTGTAACATCCCTAAATGTTCGTCATAGACCCAAGAAAAAAAAAAAAAAAAAAAAAAAAAAAAAATATATATATATATATATATATATATATATATATATATATATATATATATATATATATATATATCGGTATATATATATATATATATATATATATATATATATATATATATCGGTATATATATATACCGATTCGACCGATTTCTTTTATTTGACGCACTACTCTCCCTATAATCAACGACTGTGGCATTTGCCGGGAGCAATAAAAACTAACTAACTTTTTAGTCTATACCTTTATTTTTCTACGCTCTCACAGAAAATGATCCCGATTTTTTTGTTTGCGAGACGAATATTATATATATGTAATATAATAAGAAAATATTACAAAAAAAGATAAGGGTCTTGCAATACTTATGGCCACAAATAGAAGGCCTTCTGATAAAACGTTGCAACCGAATATGCTAAAACTACTACCAACAGCACAAAATGTTTATTCCCCAGATAATATGAGCTCCAACTCTAACTGTTATTCTGACCACAGATTTAATTAAGTCACAAGAACTTAAATAGCGATTCTACTAAGATTGTTTTTCTTCTTTTTCAGGTGCTCTGTTGTGGAAATTGAATCAATTGATTCCATTGAAATAGATTCACCGAATGATTACGAAATGGCCAAGTGTATATTGAATATAAAAAAGCGAATTAATGATAGACTATAAGTATAAAACCATAATACTTGTTAATAAAACTATATTATTGAACATACCATGGCAAAATTATTTAAGAAAATCTCATGGTATAAAATGGTTTAATTTTTTTTACAATATTTCATGGGCAACACCCAAAAAAATATAAAAACGAGTTCAAAAAAATATTAAGTTCGGCCCCGATGAACTCCTAATACCCTCCACCCCTAGAAAAACAAAAAAATTTTAAACAAATTCAAACGTATCCGACTTTAATCTGCAATTAAAAATGAGATCATTTAATGTAGTTAAAGGATAAGGCTAGGCTCATCAAAATACCGAATATCTGTGGGAACCCTTATATGCAAACCTTGTTTAAATATGAAAAATGCTTTGACACCTATCGTAGAACCCATTGTACTAAAAATATAATAAACAAATTCTTTAGAAAATGTGGCTTAAATAGTCAAATACTGAATATCCGAAGCTACTGTTTTATGGGTGTGGTAGTAAACCGTGGACCTATACAGACAATGCTCAGCCATACAACTAAATTTGGAACAATATATATATATATATATATATATATATATATATATATATATATATATATATATATATATATATATATATATATATCGGTATATATATATATATATATATATATATATATATATATATATATATATATATATATATATATATATATATATATATATATATCGGTATATATATATATACCGATTCGACCGATTTCTTTTATTTGACGCACTACTCTCCCTATAATCAACGACTGTGGCATTTGCCGGGAGCAATAAAAACTAACTAACTTTTTAGTCTATACCTTTATTTTTCTACGCTCTCACAGAAAATGATCCCGATTTTTTTGTTTGCGAGACGAATATTATATATATGTAATATAATAAGAAAATATTACAAAAAAAGATAAGGGTCTTGCAATACTTATGGCCACAAATAGAAGGCCTTCTGATAAAACGTTGCAACCGAATATGCTAAAACTACTACCAACAGCACAAAATGTTTATTCCCCAGATAATATGAGCTCCAACTCTAACTGTTATTCTGACCACAGATTTAATTAAGTCACAAGAACTTAAATAGCGATTCTACTAAGATTGTTTTTCTTCTTTTTCAGGTGCTCTGTTGTGGAAATTGAATCAATTGATTCCATTGAAATAGATTCACCGAATGATTACGAAATGGCCAAGTGTATATTGAATATAAAAAAGCGAATTAATGATAGACTATAAGTATAAAACCATAATACTTGTTAATAAAACTATATTATTGAACATACCATGGCAAAATTATTTAAGAAAATCTCATGGTATAAAATGGTTTAATTTTTTTTACAATATTTCATGGGCAACACCCAAAAAAATATAAAAACGAGTTCAAAAAAATATTAAGTTCGGCCCCGATGAACTCCTAATACCCTCCACCCCTAGAAAAACAAAAAAATTTTAAACAAATTCAAACGTATCCGACTTTAATCTGCAATTAAAAATGAGATCATTTAATGTAGTTAAAGGATAAGGCTAGGCTCATCAAAATACCGAATATCTGTGGGAACCCTTATATGCAAACCTTGTTTAAATATGAAAAATGCTTTGACACCTATCGTAGAACCCATTGTACTAAAAATATAATAAACAAATTCTTTAGAAAATGTGGCTTAAATAGTCAAATACTGAATATCCGAAGCTACTGTTTTATGGGTGTGGTAGTAAACCGTGGACCTATACAGACAATGCTCAGCCATACAACTAAATTTGGAACAATTCGTTGGGGAAATGAGGCTAAAATATGAAATTATCGATTATCGGGTAACACCGTTTTATAGGCGCTATAGGAAATCGACCATAGTGCGGAAATCCACCATAGTATGGAGCTTCCGAACGAAATTAAGTAGATTGAAACAATTTTACTCAAATTTAATTATGTCTGCAAGACTTTTGCTATTGTAAATGGGCCGTGTTAACCGTATATTAACTTCTACTCTAATGAATTATATTGTGTTTAATTTTTGAAGTAGTCTATGAGATTTTATATTTATTTCATTTATAATAGTAATCCATGAAATAATTTGTATGTATATAATAGACAAAAATTGTATTTCGATTCATTCCGTTAGTTAAAATTGTAAGGGAAAAAAACAAATGTAAGTTTATTTTCAAAATTGTTCTTGACATTCTATGTATATAATATGATATTTCATTTATATAATCATTTTTTGTTCTAGTGAATAAACAACGCCGTTTTATCAATATCCCGAGTATTTCAATTTTAACAATTTTATTCAATTTGTTGCCTAACAAATGATTTTCCCAAGCCAATAAACAGGGAGACTTTCTAATTGAATGATATTGCGGAACAACAAGATACTAACGACAATGCCGATAAACCGCTCGCCACAGCGTCATCCTACGAGACAGCCCAACATGGACTTAGCCAGAGTCGAAAACCCTTCGCCTGTCAATACAACCCAAACGTTTGATCTGACCGATGCCGATATGGAGAATCCGCCCCAAGAAACTCCAATTCAAAGCGCCACACCAGCCCTTCACGAAGCGACGTTACAAATTGTTAAAAGTATGGAGACATTAGAAAAAAAGATGATGAAAAGGTCGCCATTCTTCAAGCCAAGAATTTAGATATAGAAAATTCGTTCACTACCCTAAGGAATGAAATAAGAGGTACCAATTCGAATAGTCATAATGCGACACCAACTGCTAACCCTGGTGAAGCAACATTTTCAAGACAATTGCCTTCAGGAAACAATGCGGTTACTGGCAGTCCTTCGAATATATCACAAATAAGCCCTGTCGTCAGAAAAAGATATATCCCTTACCGAAGTTCGCAGGGCTCGCAGAGGATTGGCCAACCTTCAATGAGTCATTCAAAACCTCAACTACTGAATTCGAATATTCAGACCTTCATAACATTATGCGCCTTCGAGAAGCTCTCGAAGGGGAGGCAAGAGAAACCGTCGATCCCCTTTTATCCAACGCGAAGAACGTAAGTTCTATAATGAACATATTAGGGGAAACTTTTGGTCGCCCGGAACAGTTGATAAAATCATAAATAAACAAGATCCGGTCACTTCACCCAATTGACGAATCTGATTTGAATGCATTAGCCACGTTCGCAAACAACGTAACTAACATGGTTACTTTTATAGATGCTGTAGAGGGAAATCATCATCTTGTAAACCCTATGCTATTAAGTGAATTGATATTGAAACTTCCCACTGCTAGGCGATTGCAGTGGGCCAACAAGTCGTTAGAACTAGGTAGAATGGCAACGATTCGTGACTTTTCCCTTTGGTTGAACGATATAAGGAAAGCAATAAATATGGTTACTGATTTTCTCCCAACCACCGAACCATCAAGTCAATATGCTTGTGTATCTGTTGCGAGTGTCGCATGCATTATATGTCAAAGGAGATGTAAATCTGTGGCGACCTGTAATTACTTTATAAAGCTCTCACCTAGTCTACGATGGGAAAAAGTGAAGTCCCACAAATTATGTTTTTCCTGTTTGAAACGAGGCCATCGCTCTATTAACTGCAGTCAGAAAATACCGTGTGGTCGCCATTTGTGTGAGAGGTATCATCACCGACTATTGCACAACGAAAACTCGGAATTAAAGAACGTTCCTGTTGAGAACGCCTGTTCCTTAGAAAGTCCATGCTCTACAAAAAGAAATATATCACATAGCTGCTTAACTGGTGTAAATTGTGGGAAGCGTAGTGTGTTATTCCAGTTCGTTCCAGTAAAAATATTTGGGAAACGTGGAAAGTCAGAAATAATATATGCGTTCGTTGACGATGGCGCAAATGTGTCTATGTTGGATGCCGAGGTTGCAAATATGTTAGGAACTTCAGGGCAAGAAACGGAACTGGAATTGCATTGGCTGAACAATCAAAAATCACACGAGAAAACTCATGTAGTAAATCTGAAAATTAGCGGAATATGTGATTCCTCAGAGATTTATGAGATGAACAACGTTTACGTCACTACAAAATTGAACTTGCCAAGGCAAAGTTTGAATTTGCAATCCGTGATGTTAGAATCTGGCACGTTACTCAACAGTATTCCGATTGATAAGTATAATGATGTTAAACCAAAAATGATCATAAGTTTGGCTCATGCATATCTGACAGTACCTCTTGAAACTCCGAAAATATTGTTACCTTCAGGACCTATAGCCATAAAAACAAGGTTGGGATGGATCGTATACGGGCCGATGAAATATGGAGGCGATCAATCAATATCATGTCATGCCTTTAAATCGGAAAGAAAATCATCGTCTATGGCGGAGATGGAAGATCTAATGAAAGGCTATTTTGGGTTAGAAAGTTTCGGGATTCGAACTTCGACCAAACCCTTGTTATCCAATGACGACCTACGAGCCCTGGATATCTTACAAAAAAGCACAAATAGAGTAGGTAATAGATATGAATGTGGATTACTATGGAGGAGTGACTTTTCAAACTTTCCTGATTCTTTCGGAATGGCCTTTAAGCGTCTTACTACCATTGAAAAGAAAATGACAAGAGACCCACATTTTGGAAGAGAATATCGAGCAAAAATAAACGAATATGTTGAGAAGGGCTATGATAGAAAACTGACATCTGACAAAGCTAACATCCGCTCGCCGAAGACGTTTTATTTACCACATTGGCGTCTTGAATCCTAACAAGAATAAAATGCGTTTTGTTTTTGATGCCGCTGCAGAAGTCGAAAATATGTCATTAAACAAAGCCCTTTTGTCAGGACCAGATATTAACCAACCTCTTATGAAAGTATTGTTTAAATTCAGACAGTCAAAAATAGCCGTATGCGGCGATTTGAAAGAAATGTTCCATCAGGTCGTTGTAATGAAAGAAGACCAAGACGCGCAACGCTTTCTTTGGAGGGATGGAAACCCGACAAAACCGCTAGAAACGTACGTCATGCAAAGAATGACCTTCGGAGCAACATGTTCGCCAACCATGGCTCAGTATGTAAAAAACAAAAA